GACCATAAGTTTTTCAGAAAATTCAACGTTCCACTGCCTAGAGGCCTGTTTCAGTCCATAAAGACTTCTCTTCAACAAACAAACCTCATTCTGTCTTGCTTTTGTGTAACCCTTAGGAGGATTCATGTACACCTCTTCTTCCAAAAATCCATGTAAAAAGGCATTATTAATGTCAATATGGTGCAGTTCAAGGTTGTGTTGAGCAGCTAATGCAATGAATAGTCTGACAGAAACAAGTTTAGCCACAGGTGAGAAACTATCAAGAAAATCAATACCCTCTCTTTGCAAATATCCCTTTGCTACCAATCTGGCCTTGTACTTGTCTATGCTTCCATCTGGATTCCTCTTGATCTTGTAAACCCATTTGGACCCTATTGCTTTCTTACCATGAGGCAATTTTGTAAGAATCCAAGTTTGATTGATATCCAAAGCTTTCAGCTCTTTATCCATTGCTTCAATCCACTTAGTATCCTTTATGGCTTCTTCATAAAACATAGGTTCTGAAGGCGTTTTATGAACTTCAGAGAAGAATAAATCCACATTAATGCCTTTGACAAGATCACTTGCTATCCCTACCATATAATCAGACATCCAACTAGGAGGTTTTCTCATTCTTTTCCCATCTTCAACAGCCACAACAGGAATAGGTTGAGTGTCAGCCCTCAATTTGTCAATAGGAGTGTTATCATTATCCTCATGAAAATTTTCAACTATAGGAAGAGGAACCAATTGCTTATCATGCCCAGTGTTCAAGAAGGGAAATTCATGTTAGAATATAACATCCCTGGAAAGAAACACATCTCCATTATCAAGGTTATATAACCTATACCCTTTCACACTTGTAACATATCCCAAAAAGACACATGGGACTGCCCTATCATGAAACTTCCTCCTATGTGGCTCATTCTTGCTAGAATAACATAGGCAACCAAATACCTTAAACTTGGCATGTGCTGGTGGTACTCCATATATCATTTCAAAAAGGAGTTTTCCAACCAAGTCTTTCATTAGGCAAGCAATTTATGATTTGAACTGCAGCTAAAAGACTATAAGGCCATAAAGATCTTTTCAATTTAGCTTGTGAAGAAATAGACCTTGCAACCTCAAGTATGAACCTGTGTTTCCTCTCTACCACACCATTCTGTTGTGGTGTGTAGGGATAAGATCATTGATGCACAATTCCATTCTCAGCCAGCAATAAGCTTATCTCTCTTCCAACAAATTCAGATCCATTATCAGACCTGAGCTACTGTATTGTCTCCCAAATTGTACTTATAACCATTTTCAGGAAATATTTCAAGTGAGTACATCCCTCAAATTTATGTTTCATCAAGAATATCCAAGTGGCTCTAGAATAATCATCCACAATGGTTAGCATAAAACTTGTGTTGGTCACTGATTCTTCCTTGTAGGGGCCCCAAACATCAACATGTATCAACTCAAAGTTCCTCTTTGAATGAGTGTTGCTTACAGGAAAAGACAACCTACATTGTTTGCCACGGTGAGACACCTCACACAATCTTAACTTGTTTTCTGAGCATGAATTTTTCAAAAAATAGATGTATTTTAGAGATGTAATAGAGCCATGTCCCAACCTTTTGTGCCACAATTCTAGTTCATCTTCTTCCAAGCTCACCCGATTCACCAAACTGAATGGTAGTTGTTCTTTGTCAAGTACATATAAACCACCAAATAGCTTCCCAAATGCCACTGTAGTGTTGTGTTGAGGCTCTTTCAGTCTGCATCCTTCATCATCAAATTCAAATACTAATCTGTGGTCCTTGATCAATTAACCCACAAAGAGTAATTATATTTGAAATCAGGTATCATCAAGACATTTTTGAGTAAAATCTAATAACTTAGCTTCACCTCTCTCAATTGGTGCACTTCAACCCTTGAACCATCAGGAAGGTTCACAAAAATAGGTACAGAAATCTCCATTGTTTTGATTTCCATGGTGATATCAGAACATATATGTTTGCTTGCACCAGTGTCCACTATCCAACTCCCTTTCTCTAATTTGTTCAACAGAGTGAAAGCATAATCTTCACTGTTACCTATGTGATCAACAAAATGGGAGAAAGAATGACTTTCACTTGTTTGTTGCCCTGACATATACTTAGCAACTTCCTTTTGAATGAGTGAACCTATGTCAGACATTGAGACACTATGTTGTGACTTCACTTCTATGTCTACTTTTGCACTTTCATCACTGTCAGCCATGTTTGCACTTTGATTATGCCGTTGCCCTTTCAAATCTTTGTACTAATCTGGGTAACCATTAATTTTGAAACATCCTTGCATTTCATGTCCATTGTACCCACAGTGTGTACAGTAAAGTTTGGCTCTCTCCTCCTTTGATAATCTTTGACTACCTCTCCTTCTTCCACTGTACCCAAAATTACTTTCTGATGAGACCTCTCTATTTTGATTACCCCTTCCATAACCAGCTCCTCTACCACTTCCTCTTCCAAAACTTCCTTTCACCAACATTGCTGAGTTTTCAAGGGCTTCTATTATGTTAAACATTTTTCCCCTTTGATTTTCTACCTTTAAAATCATTGAGTAAGCTTTGTTGATGGTAGGTAGAGGGTCCATTAAAAGAATCTGGTTCTTCACAGGTTCAAATACCTCATTCAAACCTATAAGAAATTGCATGAGTTTGATTTCCATGTCATTGTCACTAAAAGCCTTTCCACTTCCACAAGTGCATTCAGGCAAAGACACCAAGGAAGCATACTCGTCCCATAAGCATTTCAGTTTTGTATAATAAACTGTAACTGAAAATTTCCCTTGAGAAAAATTAGCTATCTCCTTTTGAAGGTGATATCTTAATGGTCCATTGCTTTCCCCGTACCTCTTAGCTAATTCATCCCACAATTGCTTAGCACTTTTCACACACATAAAAGCTTCAACAATATCCTTAGAAATCGAGTTAAGGAGCCATGAAATTACCATAAATTCTACTTTCTGATACTGTTCAAAATCCTCTGAGTTCTGGTCTGGTACCTTAATGGTATCACGTATGAATCCGAGCTTTGATTTAGCTCATAGAGCTAGCTTCATAGCCCTACTCCAATGAAGATAATTTGTTCCTGTAAGCAGGTTTGTCACAAGCACCATCCCTGGATGATCTGAACCATGGAGAGATAATGGATCTGAATCTCGGCCATATCTTTGTCTTCCTACGATCTGCCTCTCACGATCTTCAGATCTTCGCGGCTCGTTGCGTGCCATCGGAAACGTGATTTAATAACCTGCTCTGATACCATGTAGAAATAGGAATCTCAGATCTAAAGAAATAACTCTAAATATTTTTGGGGTAATTTTCTCTTAGCTCAAAATGAAGAAGAAGATCCACAGTACATATATGCTCACTTGATCACAACATTCTCGTGATCCATAACAACCAATAAGGCGTAGACACGCCGCCTATAAGTTCTCATTAACTAGAGACTAAAAAAACGCTAACACGCGTAGATAAGTGAAAAACAACATAAGGACAGAAAAGTAAAAACACTAAAAAAAATGAAAACAACAATAGTAGGAAGAAGTCGCATATGCGAGAACATCTGAAACTTGTGATAGCATCCATGCAAGTATCAACATTCCAACAAAAAGGTAATACAAATGTAGTAAAAGAGAGCTCATTCAGAAGAAAGGAAGAAAGATATTGAGTATAATTTATATTTAGTTTCTATATTGTGTTCTTTATTTTTCCGTTTTTAAAACAAACTCAATATAATTCATTACTCTTTTATTCAAAAGAGTGAGGGGAAAGACCGAAAAAGCAAAAATTCATTTGCACAACGCAGTCAGGAGTCGGGACTCGGGAGAACGAATTTGCCCCGAGTCATAAAATGCAGTAGCAAATCTCATCTACCTTTTTTCCACTCCGCCGTCTCAATAGGTCGTCTCCGACGGTGGCGTCGAAGTCAGCGGCGGCCACGCCAAACACTACCTTCGCGGCCGGGTTTTCGCGTCTCGTATGCTTCCCATCTCTCTCTCTGTGTCTAGATTTAATTTGATTGCTTCATTTTGACGCGCAGACCAGTAATGATCCCCTACCTATATGCGTTCTATTGCTTTCCTCTGCCTTTTCGTTTTCTCGTTTCCCGATTTACTGTTTGTCTCCGAAAAGACTTGGTGTCATTTGAATCCGCGTGCCAATTGATGCTTTAGCTGGAGTTCTAAATCTGTGATTCACCTCTTTTTTTTTGAATTTTAAATTTTTTTCCATGCTTGAAATGTATAAGTTGTTACACTTCCAACAGTAAAAGCTTTGCCTAATCAATTCCAAGAGGAAAAAGTAGGAGATGTATGAATCTCTCTGCGTACCTATGTTTGAAAACAGAAAATATTATTCTCGGTTTTTCATTTCAGTTTTTGTAACATTAAGTGGGACAGAATTGCTGGAGCTTGATGATGTTTTAGGATTCTTGATATGAGTGTTGCAATTTCTTGTTAGTTCGATGGAGTAAAACTAAATTGTTGAATAGAATAGGGGTTTGACTAGATTGATCCTGAGTTTATCTAGCATCTTAACTTAACTCCTATACTAGTATTTCCTTTAAGCTTATGTGCACATAGACATACATGTATTAGATAGTGTATGAAAAATTGTTTATATAATGTCAATTAGAACATCAATCTATACTTTTGCACTTCATGGATTATTCTTGAACACCCTTTCTTTGTAGTTCAATTTTGGTTAATAATTAATTATGCCTTACCTCATGAGACTGATCGGGTTATAAATCGAAACATTGTGTTTCTTCATAAAAAATGTTTATGAGAATTTTCTTAATCTGGAAAGTCGTTTTTTGAACAAATAATTCAAGTCATAAAATTCTTAAATATAATCATAAAAAAGCTTCTTGAGATTGCTTAACCTCATTGAATCGTAGTTACATAAGCTAATCTGCAAACTTGCTAACTCTTCAGGTATATTCTCGATATTTTAGCCAAATCTTTGGCCTAATTTCAGCTCAAGTTCTTAAATGGATTATGAGATAGAAAGTGTTGTAAACAGTGAGACAGTGGGAAGCTCTTCTAATTTTGAAAGACAGCCAGATGATGATGACGCCATTGTGGGGATCGATATTAAAGTGGACGTTGACGATTCTTCTGAGCGGGAACTCTTCCGATTGGAGGATTTGCAGGACGTCAATTGCTCAGCAGCCGAAGGCGAACCATACGTGGGCCAGGAGTTCGAGTCTGAAGCCGCGGCCCACACGTTTTACAATTCGTACGCGACAAGTGTAGGTTTTGTCATTCGTGTCAGCAAACTATCCCGTTCAAGGCGTGATGGGTCCACCATAGGCCGGGCCCTTGTCTGCAACAAAGAGGGCTTTCGTATGCCCGACAAACGGGAAAAGGTTGTTCGGCAGAGGGCTGAGACGAGGGTCGGCTGCCGGGCCATGATTTTAGTTAGGAAAGTGAGTTCCGGAAAATGGGTTGTCACGAAATTCGTGAAGGAGCACACGCATCCTCTTGCTCCGGGCAAAGTGCGGAAGGATTTAATTTACGACCAATACCCGAACGAGCACGACAAAATCCGAGAGCTTTCCCACCAGCTGGCGATCGAGAAGAAGAAAGTTGCGACTTACAAGCGGCATCTGGAGATGATCTTTGAACATATTGAGGAGCACAATCAGTCACTTGCCAAGAAGATTGAGGACATTGTGGAGAGTGTTAGGGAGATGGAGTCGAAAGAGCATGCTGGTCAATTTCGCTGACATACTCATGCAAGGTACTTATGATTTTGAATGTTGTTGGGTGGAGAAAGTTTGTGGAGAACTACAAATATTAATTTTTATTCAACTTTTGTGGGGCTTTTTCTACTCATCTTGGTTTGGGATGGTGTGAACTTGGTCTGCATGCCCTTTTAGTCCTGTGTACATTATCGTAGGAATAGTGGGTGCATACGTATTGTGTGTGCTATTATTTATATATCAGCTGTGGGGCTTCGTAATTGTCGCGTAGATTCTGAAATTTTGGAATAGGGGAAAGCTGCTACCCTTTCTTTTGGGTAGTGTTTGGATTTTTTTTTACTGAACTAATTCTTTTTTCATGAACTTCTTTAGTTGATGTTTGATTATGTAGTGTTGGTTTTCCTGTAGTTTTGTGCAGTTCTCTTTTCATTGTGATCAAACGATATGTTATCGGACTCTTTTGTTGCGGTGGTGCAAACGAGTAACACTAATATCCACTTCCAAATTTAGATTTCTAAATTTGGATTTTTTGGTGCACTGCACTAAATGACTGGCGCCTGTTTAATTGATGAGTAGTGTTGTTTGGTATTTGAGGTTTACGGTTTACCATAAATTTGGATAGCCTGATGTCATTGGATACCTGAACATACAGATACAGGCATTGATCTCAATTTCACAAAATGCGTGTTATCTCTATGGGGGCTTTGTGTGAAGCTTAGGTATGAATGTGTTGATAGGCATGTTCGTAATGGTGAATTATGGACACAATAATCGTAATGCTGCTGCCATAGCCAACAAGCTATGCTGTTTCCAGAATGGCAATGGTTTCATGTCTCCCGTTTTGTGGAACTTTAAACTTGCATTTATGGTTGAAAGTTCACAAACCCTACTGCTAAAAGTGCCCTTTCACAGGAAGATATCTTCAGTCCTTCCCTTATTTGAGCAGATGAATTCTGAAGGAGAACTTGAAATAGAACTTAGTAACACTAATGGGTTGATGAAAACAGACTCGAAATTTTTAAGTTACATACGCCGATAAGCCGTCAGATTTTGTTTCCTTCTACTTTTATGCCACAATAGTCGGTTGAGCTAACCAAAGTCATGGATATAAGATCGTTTTGAAAAGTTTTGTTTAGCCCAAAAAATGAGAAAAAAAATTGAAAAAAAAAAATTTATTAGAAGATTTCAAATTGTGAACGGATATAAAATTTAAAAATTATAATGATTAGTTAATACGTGTGATCAATTGTGAGATTAGATGCAAACGTGTGATAAATTGTGAAATGGAATTTAATTTTCTACAATTTTGACACTTTTCTTCTAACATTTGTCCCTTCTCAATAGCACAATCCCAAATCACAGGCATAATCAGCTTAGTTGTTTCGTCGGACTGCTGCTTGAATGCACCTTTTCACAATATGAGCTGGAAATCTTTCTATTTCTCGAAACTAGAGAAATAATTCGATGATCGCACAAGAGATTTTCCCGGTGAAGTTTTCTTACTAAAAAATATCATCGTGTAGCTCGAGAAGACCACCACAACATCCGACCTACTTAGAAGAGATGACAACTGCACCATATATACGTTTTGAAACGAGTAAACCAAAATGAACAAGTCAGGAGAACTCATCAAGGTCGCAATTTGATCATCTCCTCAATTTCATCATCTACACCAATCCCATCATCACCTTTCATCCTAACCAAAATCAAACCCATATCCTTCCCCGCTCTCAAACCTGCTTTAATCAATGCACAATACATCTCTCTATTCACCGGGACCACTGCTAAAACCAACCGCACAAAAGCATCCACCTCTTCATACTCCTCTTCATCACCAAGCCAGCTCAACAACTTTTCAATTAAACCAGGCTTCGGCCTCCATTTCAAGTTACGTTCTTTCGCACCTAAAGCTTCCTTCACCACTCAAATGCCTTCCTAAAATTACCCTCATCCAAATACCCCGCACCAATAATACCCCAACTGTTGGGAGTCGGCCTTTTCCCCTTCTCCATGATATCTCGAAGCATAATTTCAGCCTTCTCGACCAAACCCTTCTGACAATACCCGATTAAAACCGTATTCGGTACTCTAAAGTCGTAATTACGGCAACAAGACTCCCATTCCTTCAAAACCACCTCAGCTGCATCAAACTCCCCAAGCTTCACAAGACAACCGAGCATAGTTATATAATCCCAATTGATCTGCTTTTTACAAACTCTCTTTTGCAAATCCCACACTCTCAACATCTCATCCTTGTTCCCGAGATGCGCGTAGAGCGAAATCAAGTGATTATAGCCCAAAGCATCTTTTTGGAGACCTGCTTCCAACTTCTTCATGTAGGCAAGGGCTTTTTCTTCCCGCCCGTTTTTTTATCAACTGATAGGCCACGACAGAGCACGTGGCCCAATCAATGTCCACATCAGCCTGCAGCTCCATTTCATCTAAAAGCTTCTCCATTGAGTCCACATCTGATTTTTCGCCGAATGAGGTTATGCATATTCTGTAGGAGAAGTTATTGGGGGAGATGCCATTTTTCTTCATTTCCGAAAGAGTCTCGACAATTTTGTCTAGTTTCCCTTCCTTCTTGTACAGGGCCATGAGATTGTTGTAGTTGAGGGTTGATGAGCTGTACCCGAGCTCTTTCATGGCCTGCATGTGGTCAAGAGCTTTAGTCAGGAGGCCTTGTCTTACATAGCAGTTGAGAAGGCACCATATGTCTTCTCGTTTTTGTATTGCCCGTTTAGGTTTGCGAAGTAGGCTTCTGCGGATTCCCACCCTTGGACAACACTGATTAGATCCAAATGCACAGCAAAATCGCCCGGTGTTAATTTGAAGGCATGATTGGAACTGATCCACTCCGAAATCTGCAACCCACAAAGTCGAATCTTTTTAAATTTTGGAGGTAACAATTTCTGATTGCTTTCATGATTTTAACAAACAATGTAGCTTTTGAGGTTTTAAAGGATAAGGAAAGCTAACGGCAAAAGCTTAGCATTTGCACAATTGAAGCTGAAGCTTCTAAAGTACAGCTTCAAACGAAACAGAGAAAAAGAAAAAGAAAATACAACAATCCCCAAACTATATCAAATCTCGAACAATACATAGAAATACGAAATAAAAGAACCAAACCTTAAGAGCCTGAGAGAAACGGCGGCGGCTCCGGAGGTGGCGAATAATGGGTCTGAGCTCGAGAGGATGGACATGTCTGCCCTCGGCCACCCACTCGTCGAGAACACGAACGACGTCTTATCCTGTCTGACGGGATTAATCCTGGAGAACAGATTCCTGGCCCTCGGTGCCGAGTATTTTGGCGCATTGGCACTGGGAATTAAATCTGCTTGGGCTGCTAAGGCGCAAGAGAAGGATTTCCTAAACGCAACGATGTTTGTCGAGCGCGAGTATAATGATCTGTTTAAGGCTGCCAACATTGATGTATTGGTGAGGGTAATTGATTGTGAGCAGGCTTGAGACACGGGACTGAATTTAGAGCTCCCCTTCCTTCTGGTTTGGGGTTTTAGGAAGCGCACTAGCAATAAGTTTTGATGGACGGCGGCCGAACGGTTGGGTTAGACTGACCTTGAACAGGCACGGGCCTAGGTCGTGCCGGGTCCATGGCTCGGAGGGCCAGTCCGGGCCTGACCCAGGTCTAGCCCGCCCAAATAAAAAAAATAAAAAAAGAAAAAATAAAAAACAACGTGCTTTTTTTGGGCCGGACCGGACCCGGCCCGACACAGCGGGCCAGGGGTCGATAAAAAGAAGGCCCTAGACCGGCCCGGTTGAAACTCGAGCCAGACCCGAACCTGTGGTCAATGGGTTTCACCAGGTCGGCGGGCTGGGTGGCCCATGGCCACGTCTAGATGGACTTAGAAAGAAAGGTTTTTAACTACTGAAATAAACAAAAGTTAAAAACTATTTTCTATTTGAACTATCACGAATTTGGCGAATCATCGAACTTTTTTTTTTCTACAAACCACCATCTAAACTACACGGGCTTGTCAAATTGCCCCCTAAATTAGAAATAAATGTAGTTTTGATTAAAAAAATTTACTTTTGAGGGCATTTCAGGAATTTCATATATTTTCTGAAAAAATGAAAAAAAAAAAAGTGTAAGAACAAATGGAGGGAGACCATCTCTGACTGGCACCCTGCGACCATCTCCGATCGGGAACTTTTGGCCATTTGTTTCTCGTCCATGCAGCAGGAGTTCGAGCTCAGCGGTGGCGGTAGGCACATGAACTCCAGCACATGAGCGCCCGTCAGAGCCCCGCTACCACCGAGAAAGCCCCACTATCGAGAGTGCCTCAAGAACCACGCATTCGGCATCGACGGCCATGCCGTCGACGGCTGAGGCGAGTTCATCCTCACCGGAGACAACGGCATACTCGAGTCCCTCCGCTGCACGGCCTGCAGCTGCCACCGCAACTTCCGCTGGAAAGAGTTCGACCCCTCCTTAGGCGGCGCCGGCAGCACCCTCGCCTTCGACTTCCTCAAGGCTACCAGAGAGCTCTCGAGTGGCGGCTCCCAGGATGGCGTCTCCTTTCTGCTCCGCTCCGACTTCCTCGCAGAGCCTGCCACCACATATGCGGTTGTCGAGGACATCGTCGGCATCATAGGAGTCTGCCGCCATGTACGTTGCTCTTTTCTTTCTTCATTTTTACATTTTCCTT